ACGTCAAGGTGCACAGCGTAACCGAGGAGTGGTGATCTTTTGTTGGGGTGGCGAGTTGTGTTGTATCAACCAACACGTTGTGTGCACTTGTGATTGAGTTGCTGCTGCCTGTCTGCTGCTTCGAGCCCCCCCCCCTCCTGCTTGGATTCAAGGCTCGGACCAACTCAACTGTGTTGAGAATTTGGTTTGAAGACAGTAACACCACGCCTCACGTACTGATCTGTCACCCTGGTCCCCTCTGTCCTCCCTTCTTTCCCATGCTCCCACTGTAGCTGGTGGAGCTGTTCCAACAGGATGATTCTGTCACCGTCATTGACAACCTGCGTCGCGACATGGTTGTCCCTGTCTCGACCAACATCTCTGCGTGGACCGTCACTGACATCTTCAACTGGAGGGGAACGAGCAAACACCCAGGTAACACAGGAGCTGTCGTCGCTATGCTTGTTCACGCCTGTGTGTGTGTGTGTGTGTGTGTGTGTGTGTGTGTGTGTGTGTGTGTGTGTGTGTGTGTGTGTGTGTGTGTGTGTGTGTGTGTGTGTCGTGTGTGTGTGTGTGTGTGTGTGTGTGTGTGTGTGTGTGTGTGTTTTGTGTGATGCTGCAATGTTCGGCGTCCTCTTTGTGGAAAAAAGTGTGATTGTTCCTCGTTCCCAACTTCTCACCATGTACCCCACCACGCTTCCTCTCTCCAACCACAAATCCATCACCACCGTCGACGCAGGGCACGATTGCTTCGTCCTGCCACGAGCAATGCTCCCATGCTTACAGTATGGCGAGTTCATGATGGTGAGTGGCATGAAACAGAATCAACGCCATGCCAATGTTGAACCAAGATGTGGGAACATGCTGCTGTTAAGTGCCATGCCATTGTGGTTGTACGCACTTTTGTCTCTGCCGCTTGGTCTGCTGATTCAATGGCCGTTCTGCTCTGCACTTCAAACTTGGTGATTGTTGCCAGTCAATCTTCATCACCCTGTGTTGTGCTGTGCGTGTGCGTGCGTGCAGGGCATGGGCTATTGGGGACAAGCGCTCATCACGTCCATGCGGTAAGGTCGACATGCACCATCGAGCGGACATGCATGTTATGTTGGTGGTACATGTCAGCGCAAAGCAATTTGGAGTGCAATCACTCTCTTACTCCAGAGACGTCACGTGCTCACTCGTACGGTCTCTTGTGACTTATTTTCTTCTGATGACTGACGTGTTGCCTGCAGGCAAATGCTGGAGCAGTATGGCCTCAAGATTTTGGTTGATACCTTTCACATCACGCGTCACCTTGGCCATCGTACTGGATCCAAAGAGCAGTTTATTGGTGCAGGCAAGGTGCGGTGGGTCACGTGTGTGTGTGTGTGTGTGTGTGTGTCTGTGTCTGTCTGTCTGTCTGTCTGTCTGTATGTGTGTGTGTCTGTCTGTGTGTGTGTGTGTGTGCATGCATGCTGACCAACGACTCTGCACACCCAACTCGACATAACCGTGGGTTTGTCTCATGCACCATTGACGCGTGCCTGTTGCATTGAATGCGTGCAAGCAGGACTGGAAAGAGGCACACGAGCAGCAGATGGAACACAACCACTGGCAGCATGTGAAAATCCACTTTCGACTCAAAGCCAACCGGGAGTCGCACGAAGCAAACCTCCAGTAAGTTTCAAACACAAGCGAACATCTCGGATGTTGTCATCCTGTCACTGGAACATTCCTCCTCGTGTTGGCACACACGCACACACACACACACATGAACGCGTCTCGTGCGCTTGCTTGCTGTTTTGTCCTGATGTTCTATTGTTCTCGGCTGTCTTCCATCGCACACTCTTCCTCACGCACCACGCATCATTCCACATGTTTCTGTTCGCCTGTCAGGGGTGCGAGGACTGTTGACTACACGACAATGAATGTGACGAGTTATCTCCGCAGCATCAACCCGCTCGCTGATGTTGTCCCGCGCGCCCCTCTTCAGGGCGCACCAGCTGCAGGTCGGGCGGGTTGCATGTTGCGGTGTGGTGTGGTGTGGTGTGTGTGTGTGAACGTGTGTGTGTGTGTGTGTGTGTGTGTGTGTGTGTGTGTGTGCGTACGCAAACGTATATGCAATGTGCCAAGCCAGACCTTTGCGATGATGATGTGTCCTCAATGAGTGTGTGATTCCCGTGCCCAGCTTCGTTGCACAAACACCATCGATACCGCTGTCCAAGCTCTAATGACATGTCATGTCACTGCACTCTGCGCTCGCAATGAAATGCGACAGGCTTTGAGCGCGTGGGTGCGCCTGCTCACTGCCGGGCGTTCATGGCACACGTTCCCGCACAGCCTTCAAGACGGTGCGTGCACCACCGCTGCATGCGTGCATACGAGTGCATCATGTGCCTCACAGAATTAGCTCTTGTGTCTGCTTTCGTGTCACGTGTCTCGTCCAACCCTGCAGTACCATCGCAGCATTCCATTGCCATCAGCCGGCTGTGCTACACGCGTTTAACGCACACCCTTACAAACAGACGCATCCCTCACCTCTGTCGCCTAACAACACCCCCTTGCTTGCTTGCTTGCTTTACAATTCCCTTACGCTGCCCACGCCATCACCCAGGCTGCCGCCGCTGCTGTGGATTGCGCCTGGCGTTGATGCGGTACATGTGCGGCGTGTGATTGAGTTCAGCACAGGGCACCACGTGGGCTCCGCGTACACGCGACCATCACTTGTCCATGAGCTGCCGGGCGAAGACCACTGCGACAGATCGGTCGGTTTCCCTCGCGCGTGAATGTTCAATATTCGCTTGTATGGAAACCTTTCTCTTGCTTGGCCTTGCATTATCTCTCACTGTTGGGGTATACACACACACGCGCACACAATACGTGGTTTCTGTCGTCTTCAGGTGATCGCGGTGCACGTGGATGGTGATTTGCACTCCCACGACGACCTGTTCTCAGCCGCATTCTCTGGCCAATGCAACAAGTGCAGCAAAATGCTTCGGGGCAGGTGCGTCGTGATCACCTTACGTGTAGATGTGTGTGTCTGTGTGTCTGTGTCTGCACGTGCAGGCTTTGTTGAAGCGACGTAAAGGGCGATGCTGCTTTCCTTGACGCGCATGTATGTAAACTTTCCATTGTTGTATGTGCCTCATGCTTGCCTGCATGCACGCAATGCATATATGCACATGTAGGCCATTTGAGGAGGGCGTGTTTGTTGTGGGCGATCCGTACGAGCTCATCATCAACCAGTTTGCAGCGGTGCGACGAGAGACGAGTCAAATTGGGAAGAGCTGGGTGCTTCATGGTGCTTTTTTTGTTGTGATGACCAGTCTCAGCGGCGCTCTGGCTCGCCCAACTTCATCTGCCTGGCTTTCCATATCCCCTCAATCGGTGGAATGTCGCCTTGATGTTGCGCTGTGTCGCATTCACGCTCACCTGGGCCCTCACCGCCACGCTTGCCCTTTGATATCATTCGTTACCGCAGCTCAAGAGCCAGGATGTGCGCGGGTTTACATTAGAATTTAGTCAGCAGAGCTTTCCAGAGGTGTGTTCGTGTGTGTGTGTGTGTGTGTGTGTGTGTGTGTGTGTGTGTGTGTGTGTGTGTGTGTGTGTGTGTGTGTGTGTGTGTGTGTGTGTGTGTGTGTGTGTGTGTTTTATTTGCTGCCGGCATACCGCGTCATGCTCACACCAGCACGCCTGCCTTCTGCAATATGCTTGTTCCCATTTCACAGAAAGAGTTTAGGAAACAGTTTCAAAGGGTGCTCAAGTCGCTTGTGTCTGCACTGCAACAAGCGCAACTATTTACACAACGAGAGGACACACAGGTGTGTCTGTCTGTGTGGCAAGACTTGTCTTGTTCTTCAATTACACACACCCTATTGTGTGCACATGTGTTCAACAACCACCTGCTCTCCAGCACCCTTTTCTCACCCTAGCACCCTTTGCGTGCTCGAACGGAATGTTGCGCGGCGCATCAGGGGAAGAGGGTGGTGGTGTCGGTCGAGGAAATGTATGAGCCCGCCGCGTGGCAGCGCGCAGGCCAGCCCGTGATGCAACTTCTGGATGCGACTAAGGTGTGGGTGTGGGTGTGGGTGTGTAGGTGTGGGTGTGGGTGTGGGTGTGTGGGTGTGGGTGTGGGTGTGGGTGTGGGTGTGTGTGTGTGCGTGTGCGTGTGCGTGTATCTGCTTGTGACAATGTGCGAGCAGCCTGGCTGCGCTGGAACTTCGCATTTTATGTCTGTGGTCCAGAGACTAACAAGACAGCACCTCGTGGATCAACTTATTCAACGACAACGCGATTCTCATGATTGTGCCTGCATGCACGGTGAATGCTCCTTCCACGCATGTTCCTCCAGGGTGATATGAAGCGATTGGCATGTGCACCGGACCTTGCCCGTCGTCCTCTCATTGTACGGACTTGAAGGTCTTGCGTGTGGGACTGGTAGCGAAACTGTCATTGCTCCATTGCTTTGTATCGAATCTGAAACAGCTTGTCGGCTCGTGGATGGTTGTCATCAATCACACACACACACACACACACACACACACACACACACACACACACACACACACACACACACACACAACTTGCGTGTAGATGGAGGTGTACCAGCGGTGGCTGCTGATGGCACCAGAGAAGGATGCGCGCGCGCCAGACCCAACTGTTGAAGACCGTGACGAGACACCCCAGCGCACGCGCGCTTTCAATGTGGACGCGTTCTGGACGCAGAATCCAGAACTGGCATGTCAGGTGCACAGGCAGGTGGCACCCCTCTACGCCGCGCTCCGTGCTGCGTACACGTCCCGCTGCCCCGAGGAGCAAGCGGGCTGAATTGCGGGGCTGCGTGACCGTGATGTTCACAAGGACGATCAGAGCAGATGTATTGGAGAAGAGTTTGGAATTGATTGACCATTGTCGGCCACAGTCACCGTGACGCGGAAGGAAGAAATAAACAACCCAACGTAAATCTCAATTCAACTCAGCATGCACACATGGAGTGTTGTTCTCAATAAACTCATGTAATGTAATGTAGTAAGGCATTGACGAAAGCACCCTCTGCACAACGCATCGACTCACTCGTCTGCCGTCCCCGCGTTCTTGTCTCTCTGTGTGTCCCTGTGTCATCACAGGCTCGCTTCCGCTTCACGCACACACGCACGCGCAACTCAATCTCACCTCAAGCTGCACCTTTGCCGCCTGTTCTGGTTCCTGTTGTTCCTGTTGTTGCTGCCGCCACCGCTGTATCGGGTGCGTTATCTGGTGGAGGAGAGAGGGTGACACACCCGCTGCCCTGCGTTTGCTGGCTGATGAGAACAACGTCATGGTCGGAGACGGTGGCAATAGAGAGGCCGCCGCTCGGGCGGATGTACACGCCGCTCGCGTACATGTGCGTCTTGTCGTAGCGCACAACTGTCTTGGCTGACGGGGTTAGAGCCGTAAACTGCATGCACATGTGGAAGGTGCGCGTGGCGTTGTTGAACGAGACAGACTGCACCAAGCCAGCGACTGCAGCTGCGTAAGGGCGTGAGAGGCCCAGCGCCGCATACGCTGCCCAGTCGTAAACGCCGCCAGGGTAGTCCGTGTCTGTCGGCCAGTGGATCCACGACACAAGGTGCTCGTCGCACAGGTCCAGCACGGCCGTGCACTCCTCACTGGCCCCCGACGACGGGTCGCACGTGGTCGCCGCAAACTCCGTTAGGAACGACGCGCCACCAAGATAGCCCACGTCCCTCTGCACGGCGTTGAAGACCTGCGGGCCAAGGGCGTCATCGCAAGCGGCGCGGCGCCACGTGCTCGCGTTGCCCGGGATGTCAAAGAACCAGCAGTAGTAGTGGAACGAAAACACGCTCTTGTTGGCGTGGGCAGCGCCACCCGGCACGTGCTGGAACCCGGAGCCAACCACGCTGCCGTTGAAGACCATGCCCCACGTGACGGGCTCGTAGAAGATGAGGTGGCGCTGATCTCGCTGGCGGATGGCCGGTGCCACGGCATCATACAGCAGGGCCAGGTTCTCTCGGCCCGCCACCCCGGGCAGGAACAGCTCCGGCTTCGCGTACACGTCGCCCGCAAACGGTTCGTTGATGAGCTCGTAGCCAATGATGTTGGAGTTGTTCTTGAAGTAGTCTGCGGAGAAGGACCAGAACTTGATGAAGGCATCGCGCATGCCCCTGACGTTGTGGTAGAGGTCGTCGTATGCCTGCCCGCACGCCTCCGTCAGCTCGTTGGCCGCCCAGGGCCGGGAGGAGCAGCCGCCCTGCATGGGCCAGGGGAACGGCCGCCGCGCAACGCTGCGGTTTGCCACCCACAGTGGGATGCCGTCGTACAGGCAGAACTTTGAGGAGAAGCCGTCCTGGTGCACATCCAGGAGGGTGTATATGTTGTGGTTGGCCAGCTGCGCGACAATGGTGTCGATGGTTTGGTAATAGGTCATGTTGAAGTTCCCCTCGCTCGGCTCTGCGCCAGACCACATGAACCCCAGGCGCACGACGTTCACGCCGAGCGACGCCATCTCTTTGATGTAGGTGGTGTTGAGCAGGATGGGCGGGTACCACGGAAAGGCCTTTTGCACGTGGTTCACGCCGTGGAACACGCGAACACGCCCTTGCTCATCGCGCAGCAGCGCATCCTCCCCAGACGCCGTGATCCACGGCAGCTTCTGGTCCTGCTGACGATCGTGTTGTTGTCGTTGTTGTTGTCGTTGTTGTTGATGATGATGATGATGATCGTGGTCGGGGCTCTTGGGCGTGTTTCCCGCAAAACAGGTGTCACAACCCACCACCACCACAGCAACAACAACAACCACCACACACAGAAGAAGGCGCCGAACAAGAACTGGGCCAGCCATCACGCTGATGACTTGCACACAGACACACCCTTGTCGTCACTGCACCCCGATGCACACGCTGATCACTGGCTGGTTGTTCCGCGGTGTTGTTTTGTTTGTTTGTTTCGCACTGTTGTTTGTGTTGTAGAAATTTGTTGGACACTACAACTACTTTTCAGCGACATCGCTGCCAGCACACAACACACAACAAAAACCAAGCAAGCAACACACCAACAAGAGAAGCTTGCGCTTGAAGCTTCCTCGTCTTGTCTTGTGTTGTCTTCACCTTCTTCTTCTTCTTCTTCTTCTTCTTCTTCTTCTTCTTCTTCTTCTTCTTGAGGCGGAGGATGATGATGCTGAGTGTTGTGGAGCGGAGAGCGCTTGCGCTTGCTGTTGTTGTGGCCATCGCTGCCGCTGTGGCAGTGTTGCCAACAGCGCAAGCACAAACCAACAGCACCACCATGCCAAGCAGCGACACCAACAGCACCATCATGCCAAGCAGCGACAACGCCACGGACTGTGCTTCCCTGAACATGGACTATTGCCGTGCTACACCAGAGTCAGTTCGAGTGTTCGTGTCTGTGTCTGTGTGTGCGTGGGGGGAGGGTTGTGTGTGTGTGTGTGTGTGTGTCTGTGTGTGTCTGTGTGTCTGTGTGCGTGTGTCTGTGTCTGTGTGGGTTGTGCGAACGGGCCTCTTGTGGGGACTCTTGTACATGTGTGTGTGTGTGTTAACATGTGCTTTGGGGAGCTTGACCGCTCTCTCATGCATGTGCGTGCATGCACGTACAACACATCCCATTCATGTCGTCCGTGCTCTTGTTGTGTGCAGGTGCCACTATGTGGACAATGCACTGTCGTGCTTCCAGCGAGGATGCGACGTGTACACGTCATACAGCCTCTGCGCCGGTGATCCAGAAGGCTTTGGCGACTGCTCGTGGGACAACGACCTGTACAAGTGCTACTCCGGTGCGCTGCCAATACACAATGCTGTGTGCTTCCACAATCTTGGCTGCTTGCACGAACACAGGGCCTTTGTCTGCATTGCCAGTCAATGTCCCCCGCTTGCCTGCTTGCAATGTTTGCCGTGCTCCGCTGACGCCGTGCCTTTTCCTGCCACCCACGCGTGCGGTGTGGATGCAGGTGACGCCCCGAGGTGTGACATGTACTCTGTGGACTGCCCCTCTTCTCGCTGCCGCCAAGTCTCAGGCTACTGCGAAGACCAAGACAGTGCGTTGTGTTGCAAGTGTGTTATGTGGTGTGTGATGTTGCTGTGCTACGAATGCGCTGTACCGAGTGATGTTGCTGAGTGTGTGTTAGCAGTGCGACGTGCCGAACTGCGACATCACAAACCAACCGCCCACACGCGCGCCCACACACGCGCCCACACGCACCAACACGCGCGCGGTCTTGCAGGCTCGGTTGCTCGGTGTGAGGACCTCGGCTCAACAGACTGTCAAGTCACGGCCGGATGCATTCTCGTCAACAACCAGTGCAAACTCGGAGGTGTGCCTCTGTGTCTGTTTGTCTGTTTGTCTGTGTGTCTGTGTCTGTGTGTGTGTGTGTCTGTGTCTGTGTCTGTGTGCGTGTGTCTGTGTATGTGTGTATGTGCACTGTGGTGCTGCCACACGCAGCACGCTCGTCGCTCACGTATGCACTGCCGTGTGTATGTGCGGTGTGCATGGATAGATGGGTCGTGCAGCGTGTTTGGCAAGGCCGATTGTGCAACGCATGACGAGTGCGACTGGCTGTCCACCTACGACACCTGCTGGCCGACGGGTGAGAAAGTGTGCGTCTGTGTGTGTGTATGTGTGTGTTTGTGTGTTTGTGTGAGTGCGTGTGTATGTGAGTGTGTGTCTGTGTGTGTATGTGTGAGTGAGTGTGAGTGAGTGTGTTCCCATGCGGACTCTACGTTACTCATGTACTTTTGTCTCCCCATCCCCATCCCCATCACCGCCACCACCGCCACCACCATCCCCAGGCGTGGACTTCCCGTGTGAGGATGCGAGCGACTTTACGCTGGTGCCGTGCCCCGAGCACTGCGACACCGTCAACACCACCACCGACAGCCGCACATGCGTTGTCAAAGGTGCTGCCCACGACCAAGATGGATGGATGGATGGATGGATGGGTGTGGGGGTTGGAGGGATGTGTTGTGGATTGGTGTAAGGGTGTGCGTGCAATGCTGTTTTGTGTCAGCGTCAAACCAGATAAGCTCGTGTTCGCTCAGCTCTAATCGCCACCACGATTTTACTGGCACCACCACCATTTCTATCATCGTCATCATCACCACCACTCGTTAACAGGTTGGACGGTGCCGTGCTCGTCGTTTGACGGCAACAGCTGCCCGCTCGACCGCTGCAGCGTCAAAGGCACAGGCATTCGCGTGTGCTACGACCCAAGTACGGTGCCGTGTGCTGCAGGAGTGGTGGTGGTGGTGGCGATGGTCTGCCCACGCAGGACACGCTGCAACCTTATTCATCTAAACCCACACACACACACACACACACACACACACACACACACACACACACACACACACACACACACACACACACACACACACACACACACACACACACACACACACACACACACACACACGCACACGCACGCATCAGATCTGCCGTTTGACTGTCACAAACTGGATCCGGACTCGTGCAGCGCGGCAGAGGAGTGCAAGATGGGCACCGACATGTGCTTTGACAGAAGTGAGTGGTGCACATGGTCGATTGAATCGGCGAGTATGCATGTGCGTTGGTCTGAGGAAACATGGTTGTCTGACGACTTGTGATGACATGTACGCAAATACACACACGCACACATCCACACACGCAAACACACACGCACCTGCATTGCCCGCTGCAGGTGAGACTGCGCCGTGCGACAAGCTGACGCTGTCCGACTGCAGCGCTGCACCACACTGCCGCGTGTCGTGTCCGGGGGGCGGTGCCGGCACGTGCGTGGACTGCGGTCAGATGTGCAAACCAGACGACGCAAACTGCGGCTCGCTTGGTGAGGGGATGTGCTGCTGTTGATGTTGATGTTGATGTTGATGTTGACGTTGATGTCGACGTGTGGTGTTCTTGATGTCACTGGCAGGTGTTGGTGGTGTTGTGACCCTGTTTCTCGGCTCATCCTCTTCCTCACCACCACCACTACGATCCACCAGATGACTGCCTCGGCAGCGACGAGGTTGAGTGCGAATCCAACTCCGCCTGCATTTGGATGCAGGGTGCCGGGCAGTGCGTTCCAAACGGTTCGTAACACACGAACGTGTGCAAGGTTGTCATCATCTGGCCTGTGTTGATCATTCGACAACAGCGTCAGGACACAAATGCATTCGTGCTTTCACGGCGTTGCTCACTCACTCACACGCACTTGTCTCTTACATCACACACACCCGCGCATGCACGCACACACCCGCACGCGCACTCACATACACACACCCTCTCCGGTCTCTTTTCAGAATCGGACAACTGCTTCCCTGTGACGGACGAGGCCGAGTGTCTCGACACGTTTGGGTGCATGTGGGAGGAAGGATCGTGCCAGCAGTGTCCCGAGGAGGGCTGTCCGACACCAGAGGGGCGCCCGTGCTCGTTCTACGACCAGTTCACGTGCCCCGGTCCCCGCTGCACGTATCTGCCCGATCTCGGAGAGTACGTCGCCGTGTGTGTGTGTGTGTGTGTGTGTGTGTGTGTGTGTGTGTGTGTGTGTGTGTGTGTGTGTGTATGTGTGTGTGTATGTATGTATGTATGTATGTATGTATGTATGTATGTATGTATGTATGTATGTATGTATGTATGTATGTATGTATGTATGTATGTATGCATGTATGTGTGTATGCGTGTTCTGCTTGTTCGTGTGGGTGCGCGAATGTGCATATGTGCGCACCCCAACTACTTGATAACGACTCGGTCATGTCGCCCTGTCCACCGCACGTCATCATCTCCCGTCAGGTGCGGCAGGACGCCGTGTGAGGCCGCATTCGACAACACGACGTGCCTCGCCCTCAGTGGCTGCGCATACTTTGCCCCAGGGAATATCTGCTACAACGCAACCGCGGTATGTGCGCATAATGTGGGCGTCTGTGCGACTGTGTGTGTGTGTGTGTGTGTGTGTGTGTGTGTGTGTGTGTGTGCGTGTGTGTGTGCGTGTGTGTGTGTGTGTGTGTGTGTGTGTGTGTGCTTGGCGAATTACAAATGAGCACGTCCACATTTTTTCATTGTTGCTCCACAACCCCATCGTTGTACCCCCCCCCAACACCCACCTCATTCAATCACTCCCCACCCACACCCACTCACTCACACCGACTCGCACACTGCCCGTAGGGCGAGGAGCTGCCGTGCAACCGCCTGATGCCCGACGCGTGCGAGAACTACGATTACTGCGTGCTGATCGACACGTTCTGTCAGCACAAGGACGACGTGAAGCCTTGCATCACGCACGAGTCGGAGGACAGCTGCCCCCTCCACCGCTGTCAGGTGCGTTAGACAGCAGGCGAACGCGCCGTGCTTGCTCGCTCGTTTGCTTGTTAATTCTGCTGCTCTCCGTGACTGAACACATTGTCGTGCTGATTCGCACAACCATGAAGATGTGTGCATGTATGTGCGTGTGTGTATCGGCATTCATCCACTCTCTCACACACATACACATCACATACACACGCACACATACACACATACACACACATACACACATACACACACATACACACATACACACATACACACACATACACACATACACACACATACACACAAACACACATACACCCCAAACAATGCATTGCTTGTACAGTGGGTCTTCAAATCGCAGCAGTGCCATTCGTTGGTCTGCGAGGACATCTTCGACCCAGAGTCGTGCAAATATGCAAACTGCACCTTGGACGAATTCAGCAACGTGAGGAGCGATGCATGTAGACACGCATGGACGGATTGTTGGCTGTGCGCTGGCCTTTGCTTGCCTGCAATGCCGTTTGTTTGGCATGTGCTTGCATACACACATTCCCTGGTACACGCGTGCGTGTGCTTGCATGCACGCATTGCTTGACACATGCACGCACGCGCGCGCGCGAGCGCCATCTCATGACCCCACAACCTCCCAATTACGACCGCCATGAACAGCTGTGCTACAACGACACGGGCGTGGCGTGCGAGAAGCGGGCGATGGAAGACTGCACGACGCCGTGTGTGCGCACGGATGAGGCCTGTCGCTCCCGGCAGTGCTCAGATGCCCGATTCGAACAAGAAAAGTGCGTATGTGCTTGCGCTCGTTTGGATTGCAGTGCCACAATCGTATTACTCATTCTTTTTGATGGTTTCAGCATGCCCTGCTGGTGCTCACACGACAACCCAACACACACCCCCACCCCCACCACCACCACAACAACAACAACAACAACAACAACAACAACAACAACAACAACAACAACAACAACAACAACAACAACAACAACAACAACAACACACCACCCCAATACACAACACCACGACGTCCTCCCCCCCCCCCGAACTCAAACCATTGCTTCCATCCAGGTGTGAGCTGATTGAGAATTGCAAGTTCAGCGACGACCAGTGTGTCTTTGATGATGGCGGCCCGTGCACGTCCTTCCAGCTCGAGTCGTGCCCCGCTCGCTGCTACACAGACTTTGCAGGCGGCGTTTGCAGGTGTGTTTGTTGGTTTGGTTTGGTTTGGTTTGGTTTGGTTTGGTTTGCTTGTTTGTTTGTTTGTTTGCGTGTTTGTTTGTTTGTTGTTTTGTGAGGAGAACCCCGCCTCTACTTCTCTTGTCCTCTGACCACCACGACTACCACCACCGCCACCATCGCCGCAGGCTGGAGATGTGCTCTGACCAGGTGGACGAGCAAGCCTGCGCAGAGTTTGGCTGCTCCTTCCATCCGCAAGTCGAAATTTGCCAGAACGACACGGGGCTCGCGTGCTCGGCGTACACGGACATCCTGACATGCCCCTACCGCTGCAGGTTTGCTGACCGCGAGTGCAAGGAGCGCACGTGTGCAGACTTCAAGTCGTTCGAAACCTGCGAAAGGAACGAGTTTGCCCTTGCCTGCTCGTACATCACGGTTGACGACAACGAGTACTGCGTTCGCAAAGATCAGCCGACGCCCTGCTATGTAAGTACACACGTGTTCATGTGCAAAGTAGCCATGGGGATGTGCGGGTGCATGCATGCATGTGTGTGTGTGTGTATGTGTATGCATGAGTGGGGAGGTGGAACTTATCATCACCTTGCTCACTTCAATGCATTTCGCCTCACACCGCCCTGCTCCGGCAATGCCCATCACGGCCCATCGCCAGGTGTACCATGGCCACGAGAGCGACTGCCCGCTCGACCGCTGCACGTGGAACGAGCTCGACTCCCTCTGCGAAAACTCAAGTACGTCCACATGCACGACAGTAGTGAAGGCGGGTGCTGGTGGTTTATTGGCCTGGCTGTGTGGGTAGGCACTCACTTTACACAAATTCTCGCACACTCACATGCACTCGCACACTCACATACACTCGCATACCTCACATACACTCGCATACATACACACTCACCCTCACATGCGCTCACACCCACACCCACATTAATTCCCACCCATACACACACACACACACACACACTCACACACTCACACACACACACACTCACACACACACGCACACATGCTCACCTCCCCCCCCTCTCAAAACACTCACATGTACAATCAACAGCGGAAAAAATTGACTGCGTGTATTACACGCATGCGGAGACGTGCCAGCGCTTTTCGTATTGCATGTGGAGCAACGGGCTATGCGACACGTGCAAGGAGCAGCCGTGCGCAACCATCGCACCACCAACCACCAGCACCACATCGACGACCACGACCACGACCACGACCACAGCTGCAGCCAACATGACGACCGCATCGCCCATGATGACCACGACGATGAAGGCGGGTGGAAACAGCACTGTCGACACGACAAAGTCGACGACCGCAAGTGGAGGGCTGACGACAACAATGGCTGTGACAACTGCTGATGGCGGCACTGGCACAGCATCAAGCACCACAACGACAACGACAACGACAACGACAAAGGAAGGTGGCACCAGCAAGACCACAGGCAGCACAACCACAAAGTCAACAACGACGACGACGACGACGACGACGACGACAACTGTGAATGGCGGCGGAAGCACAAAGGGCGGAAAGGCGACGACCACCAAGCCAACCACCACCACAACAGCAGCCACAACCACGACAACATCAAACACGAACACGGATGTGATCATCACATCAAGCACATCGGCGACAGCAACGGCTTCAGCCAGTCCGAACACACCCTCACCACCATCACCACCCTCACCACCATCACCACCACCATCGCCACCATCGCCATCGTCCCCTGGTGCAAGCACGGGGGCGGCAGAGACGACGACCACTGCAGGCGGCACCACGACACCTGCAGGACAGAAGGCCACGGGCAAGAAGAAGAGCGGTGAGAGAAAACGCTCGTGCAGCGAGCTGAGATGCATTGTTACGTGGCTGTTGGTTGCTGATGTCGTGTATGTATGTGTGGTGTGTGTCTGTGTGTGTCTGTGTGGTGTGTGTGTGTATTCTGGCGATTGCTTCTTGCGTAACAGGTTCACGGCCCTTTTTTTTTTTTTGTACTGTGCTTACGTTGCATATCACAACACCAACAACATCAACACACACGCTCACGTGTCCGCGTGTTACAGCGACGGGCGTTGCTGTTGGCGTGACGCTTGGGCTGATTGCTCTAATTGCTGCTGTTGCCTTTGTCGTCTGGCGACGCAAGCGTTCCTCGTCCCTCTCATTCGACTCGCCCTCATATGGGTGCGTGCTTGTTGTGTTTGTTTGTTGTGTTTGTTTGTTGTGTTTGTTTGTTTGTTTGTTTGTTTGTTTGTTTGTTTGTTTGTTTGTTTGTTTGTTTGTTTGTTTGTTTGTTTGTTTGTTTGTTTGTTTGTTTGTTTGTTTGTTGTCTGCCTTCCCCAATCCACAAGTCCCCTCTTTCTCTCCCCACACACGCACGACGCAAGACGTTCACCTCTGACAAATTATTCCCCTGTCCTGCTTCCAGGCAACGCTCTGATGAAATGGATGTGCGGAACTTTGTCAACTACGACGACTCCATGAACACAATCGAGAACCCCACGTACACCTCGTTCTCCGAAGCGTGAACTCACACGCACACACACCGTTAAATTGTGTTGTTGCTTCCTCTTTTCTTCTTCTACCTTAACTCGCACAACATGTGACATGTGGCTTGTTCTTGCCACTTTGCATGGGTTCCTTGTCGCTCGTTCTGCTCCACGCGCAACCACCAACACTGTTATTTTTCCCCTGTTTTGTCGCTTCCTCCATGTTGCTGACACTGCACTCGTTTGATGTTCGCTCCTTCTTCTGACTTAATTGACTGTCGTTTGACTCACGCGCACACATACAAAACACACACGCGCACACATACAAAACACACACACGCGCACACATACAAAACACACACACACGCACACGTTGCCTGATGTTTTGTGTCACTCCTCCCTCTCTTTGTTTGATTGACTACGCGACCCAACACAACCCACCAACGCACACCGTTGCATTTTGAGTGCGCTGTCCTGTTTTGTGTTCGTCTCTACAATACACAACACACGTCTGCTAACGGCCACACATACACACACACACACACACACACACACACACACACACACACCACACTCTCTTTCTCTCTCCCTCTCATGTGATGAAGCAGATGTGTAACGGATGATGTAATGTAGAGTTGATGGCTTCTTGTACGGATCAGCACGCGATGTACAGCACCAGCGTGCCACTCCCAGCAAAACGAAAGATGGACAGCCAACGCCCATTTCAAACACAAACAAACACACACAAACACACACACACACACACACACACACACGTTCCTCCTCTTCCCTTGAGGCAGCGGTTAACTCGGTACAACACATTCCAGCAGTCGACACAAGAACGGTACAAGAGCACCGTCAGCCGACTGTTTGGTGCGTGGTTGCTGGTGGTTCTTCTTGTCCTTGCGAAGACGCTGTTGTTTCTGTTGGGGAGATGGGACGTTCCTGCAAAGATCATGCGTGCACACGAGAATGTGAGTATGATATAAGCACGCAAGAGCGGCAGTTTTGAAAGCCGTCGCATCGAGTAACACAACAACAATACACAGTAGCACACACGCAACAACAGCACCACAATACACAAACACAGACACGCACACGACAGCAACACAGCAACACACCACAGACACGCACACGACAGCACCACAATACAACAACACACCCAAACACACACGCGACACCAGCCTAAAACGACATACCCTGTTGTGTGCGGAGGTGGGCTTGGGCGAGCTGGGCGGTCGTACAACGGCGTGGGAAAGGGGTCGGCGGGTCTTGGCTGGTGGGTCAGGCTGCGTGTCGGCGGTGGCAGCAAGGGTGATTTGGCGCGTGCATGCCATTTTGTAGAGCTTGAAGTGGGCGAAGAAGGTTCTGAGAAAGTAGTCGAGGACGCACTGACAGTCCGAATATGTGAGGATGCCTTCGCTCCACGGCGGCCTGTGCACGCTGTGTTTGATCAGCTGGTCCCGTAACAAGGCGACCGTCTCGTCGACGTTGTTGAATGGCGTTGAGAGGCAGGCCTCCCACAGCTTGTGTGCGATCGTCTGCACCACGGCCCGCTTTTCCTTGGAGAAGGACTGCGACGCCGCAAACTGCTCTGCGTAGAACAGCAGGTCATCGTACATGGCGGCTGTTGCTGTTGTACTTTTTGACATGCCATTGCCATTGCCATTGCCATTGCCATTGTCATTGTCATTGTCATTGCCATTGTCATCGCCAGAGCTGTCCTCCGCGCTGTCAACATCACCATCGTCAGCCCTGCTGTGTGTCTCGTCCTCTCCTTCACCTGCGCCGCCCTGCCTGTTGCTTCCCTCTTCCCTCAGCTGCTCTTCCCCATGTCTGCTGTCGCCGTCACCGTCACCGCTGCTGCTGCGCATCGTGTTGTTGTTGCTACGCGGGGTTGATATACAACACCACAAAGTGTAGTACGGCCGTTTTCCTTTGTGCGTGGATATGCGGTGTGGGCTGCGGCGGCTGGTGCTGGTGGCGGTGGTGGTGTCGTCGCTAGCGCCATTGCTGCTTGTGCTGCTGCATGGCTCGCAGCAACAGCACGGGCAGCAGGAGGTCGTTGATGCAGGGAAGGGTGAGAGTGGCCACCACACACAGAGCTTGGACCGTCGGCAACAGCAGCAGGAGTGTTTGTTGCAGACGCACATCGTGAAGGCCAGTGAACCACTGCGTGCAACTGGGTGGTGGCAGGGCCATGCGACATGGACGCAGCCAGTTTCACAGGGCCAGCAGTGCTGGCAGTCCCTTCGCACTGGAGGCAGCGCCGAGGGCATTCGGGCCATCTACCAGTACCTCGGGATCAAAGCGGCCCTGTACGTATTCCAACTGCTTCGGGGTGAACAGTGGACGATGTTGCGTTGTGCTGTGTCTGATGTGTGGAGTGATGATGGGCTGTGTTGTGAGATGCCAGCGTGAGAGAATGCTGTGCTGTGATCTGATCTGTGTGGCATGTGATGTGACGGTGGACAGTGGTTGAATGTAACATGGGGAGGATGTGCTTTGTGTTCAGCACTCACTACAGGTGCAACTGCAACACTCTCGCCATGCATTCATATATTCCTGGGCACTGCAGGTCACCCACCATGGAGTTCTCGCAAGATCCTCTCATGACGCTCAAGTTCTCAGCCAAGGTTCACACACACACACACACACACACACACACACACACACACACACACACACACACACACACACGCACACACACACACACAATATGATGCATCCCATTGACAACACATGTGCTTCTGACTGGCCTGCACACCAACGAGCCTTGTTCTCGCGCGTGTCCGACCTTAACGCTTGTTGTGTACATTCATATGCGAAATTAGGCCACCGGAGAAGGCGGTGGCGAGCAGGGCGCGGATCGAGGGCCACAGGCGCTCATTGTTGTGAGCCCGCACTCCGATGGGTACACGCAAGAAGACTGGTCCGCCTGTCTCGCAGCGCTATATGCTGACGACTCCAGCCAAGCACATTCACATGCGCCTGGGCCGTGGCCATCCACAATCAAGTGCCGCCTGACATCGCTGTCGCCACCATCCGAAGACGTTGCAGGCACCCCCGACTCAGCCCTCGTCAGCGAAGTGCACTTGGGCCGCAGCGAGCTCGGCCTGTCCGCACGCGCGGGTTCCACCGTGATCTTGGACGTGATTGTCGGGCTCGCGTGCGTCCGGTGCACACACACGGTCCAGTTTGATGCTATCGAGCTGGCTGTGGTCGACGGCAAGACGGGCGCTGCACTCGCTGCTGCTCCCATGTGCCCGCGCACGCCAACGCACATGCCACAACACGCGCGAGAGGGCAGCGCCCCCACGACATTGCAGACCATGCATCTGACGGGACCTCCGTTCAAGCATCCTCTCAGCATCGTCACCCAGGTGATACGTGTGCACGTGTGTACGTGTGTGTGTGTGTGTGTGTGTGTGTGTGTGTGTGTTCGTGCCTGTCTCTGTGTGTGTGTCTGTGTGTCTGTGTGTGTGTGTGTGTGTGTCTGTGTGTGTCTGTGTGTGTGTGTGTGTGTGTCTGGTATTGTCGGTCTGATTCTGCGACTTGTCTGCTGGAATTGCCGTTCAATTCTTCCCGCCCAGTTTTTCCCCAATGGCAATGCTGGCTGTGTCAAATGCAAAGCACCATGTTCACCACCGCCCACCTCTGCCGCTATCACTGCGTGTGCGCCCGCCGCCAGGTGTCGCTGGACCGGCTCTCGCTGCTGCGCTACCTGCCGAGCACATGGAGTGGGCCCGTCTCCATGGCCGTGCACCACAGTGATGACAGCGACGGTGGTGACGGTGGTCGGGAGAGTGCGGCGGCATGGGTGCCCGCTTTTGTCCTCAAGCATTTGCGCAAGCTCGCCCCCACGCAACCGTGGGCCGCCACCTTGACCCTGGGGCGAACAGGCGAGGTGTGTGTGTGTCTGTGTCTGCGTGTGTCTGTGTCTGTGTGTCTGTGTCTGTGTCTGTGTGTCTGTGTCTGTGTCTGTGTCTGTGTCTGTGTGTGTGTTTGTGTGTGTGTGTGTGTCTGTCTGTCAGTGCGTGTGTGTGCGTGTGTGTGTGTGTGCGTGTGTGTGCGTGCGTGTGTGTCTGTGTGCGTGCGTGTGTGTCTGTGTGCGTGCGTGTGTGTCTGTGTGTGTCTGTGTGTATCTGTGTCTGTGAACTTGATTGCATTGCTCGGTTGCCTGTTTCTCTCAACTGTGTGTCTTGTCTGGGCGACGTGACACATCCATTCCCCACTCGTCAAGGCAAGTGCGCCAACTCACGTCGTGTCCACTGCGCCACCACCACCACCACCATCACCACCATCTTCATCATCACGTCCACTGCAGCCGTACCCCATCAACGCCCTGCGCAACGCAGCCATTGAGGGTGCAGCCACGGATTTCGTGTTCATCATGGATGCAGACTTTGTGCCCACGTCGAATCTCAAGGTTGGGAAACGGTGGTGGTGAAGTACAGCGGGGTGCGCTGTCCCTTCCACACACATTCACATGGCAGCACACTCGCATGCATTTGTACCCACATGCACCTACTGTGCACTCGCGCACATATGCGTGCACATACTCAAGCACACATTCACATTCTGGTGCACACGTACACACACACACACACACACACACACACACACACACACACACATGTTCTTGTGCAGGACCAGTTTGCGCTGGCTGCTGGGTTTGTGGATGGCAATGGGGACTCTGTGGCCCGCACGGCGTTTGTTGTGCCTGCATTTGAAATGCTTCAGGGTGACCGCGCGAGTATTGGGGTTGGGGATTTGCCCAAGACAATGGAGCAGCTGGTGGCGGCCATGGAGGCCGGAACGGTGCGTCCATTTCGGGAATCCGTTTCTCCGCTCTCACACGCGGCGACAGATTACAGCTACTGGCGCCACGCCTACACGCCATACACCGTCGACTACCAGGTTGTGTGCGGGTGGGTGCGGGTGGGTGTTCGTTTGATTGTTTGTTTGTTTGGTTGTTTGTGTGTGGGGGGGGGGTGGGTGTTCGTTTGATTGTTTGTTTGGTTGTTTGTGTGTGTGTGTGTGTGTGAGGGGGGGGGTGGGTGTTCGTTTGAGTGTTTGTTTGTGTGTGTGCGTGTGTGTTTATTGGTGTGCAGGCCACTTCATTTTCCCTCGCCGATCGACTCACTTGCCGTTCTCACCCCCAATTAAACCCCAACACACATACACACACATGCAGGACCTGTATGAGCCATATGTGATTGTCCAGAAAACAAACCACCTGCCTCTATTTGACCCCAACTTTACAGGCTACGGCATGAACAAAATCTCCCACTCACTTGAGGTGTGTGTGTGTGTGTGTGCACATGCGTGTTTGTCTGTTGTAGTGTGATGGTGTGCTTGAATGCCCTCTCAACAAGATGAGTGTGATGGTGCGTCCCCAGCCAACGTGTTGTCTGCTTCTCACCTTCCTTCTTCCACTTGTCAAAACCTTCATGCATGCCATGCAGCTCCACGCGGCTGGCTATCAGTTTGTCGTGGTGCCTCGGGCATGGATCATGCACCTTCCGCATCCCGAATCACAGCACGCGCACAGGTCAGTGCGTGCGGTGTTGTTTGAGCATTCTGAATACACACATGCATTTGCTCGTGCACGCATCCTCGTACACACATCAAACGCTCACTCGCTCACTCACTCACTCACACACACACACTCACTCACTCACTCACACACACACACACACACACTCACTCACTCACTCACTCACTCACTCACTCACTCACTCACTCACTCACTCACTCACTCACTCACACACTCACACACACACACACACTCACTCACTCACTCACTCACTCACTCACTCACTCACTCACTCACTCACTCACTCACTCACTCACACACTCACACACACACACACACTCACTCACACACTCACTCACTCACACACACACACTCACTCTCTCACTCTCTCACTCTCTCACTCTCTCACACACACACGCGCGCGCGCATGCACATGGTGGCAGGTTCCTGCATGATGTTGTGCGGCAGGCCGAGATTCGCGTGCAGCGGTTCCAATTTGTGCGGCATCTCCAAAGCAAATTTGCCTTGGATTGTGATGGAAGCGACAAAACAAAGAGTAGTTGATGGTCTTTCATATTTCGAATAGTGTCGTATAGTTGCATTTACGTTTCGCCTCAGAAGCGTTTTATCGCGTTTTGGTTCGTTCGTCCGTCCCAACCGCCTTGAATGTGCATGCATGCATTCGCTTGCGAAAGGCAAATTTGCTCTCGTCCTTCCTTGCTTCTTCTTCTTGCTTCGTCGCCTTGCTTTGCTTCGCCTTTGCTTTGCCTTTCGCAGCAGCAGCACCACAACGCACAACAACACGCTGTGACGGAATGAATGCTTGGGCGGAGATGATGCGCGGTGATTGAGGTGTGTGCACGGCAACCGTTCCGCCATGCTCGTCGTTCCATGCCTGCTCTTGTGTGCGCTTGCCGTTCCATCCATATCCACACACACACCGCTACATCGTCAACAGCACAAGCAAGACAGATACATCAAACGCCTTGCATATTCAGAAGCACTCGCTGTTCCACACTCACTGCTCTGCACAACACATTCCAACCTAACGCAAGCGCGCTCAAATCACCTCGACGGCAAACACTCACAACAGCTGTTGTTGCTGCTGCTGTTCACCTTCTTCTTCTTGTGCTTCTTCTTCTTCTTCTTGTAGTTCTTGTCATCTTGCATCTAGCACATCAACACGGACTTCCATTTAACGACCCAACAACAACAGCACCAGCACCACCAACCAGCAGCAGCCGAGCACACACTCAGTGCAGCAGCCAGCCTCAACCACCGGCACGCACGCAAACATTGTTCGCCCGATCATTTTCATGCATCCCGACGAGAACACGCGCACAGAACATCACAATCAGCACCCACAACAGCAATGACTGTCTTGGCAAGTGTGGCTGGCTCTGCTGCACCCGCAGACACCAACCACACACACCAGCACAGCAACCACCCTGACACCCACTCAGACCCCAACCACGACCGCGATGAAAAACACGGCGCAGGCCGGTCCAGCGCCCCTCTCCCTTCATCAATGCCACCGCAGGCGCAAGGACCGATGGTGACAACACCGACACCACCACCACCACCAACTGCAGCTGCACTCGCCAGCTTGGATGATACCCATCTCTGGCAGGCAGTGTTTCCCACCCTGGACGTAAATCAACTCAACGCACTCTGCCGCGAATGGCGGCTCTCCAACAACATGGTGTGTGTCGTGTGTCATGCTCCGCTTCTGCTCCTCCTGCTTGCTTGCTGTTCCGTTTGTTTCTCTTCTTCTCCCTCCCTCACTCCCTCACTCTCACTCGTTCTGTTCTTCTCACCGTCTCACCCCCTCACTCTCACTCTCACTCTCACTCTCACTCTCACCCATTCTCCCTCACTCTCACTCTCACTCTCACCCATTCTCCCTCTTCGTGCAGGCAAAGGCGAAGCTGTGTGTGCAGTGGATGGGCATTCCGCTGCTGGAGAAGCACCGCCACAGCAAAACGGGCCTGCGTGACCTGTGCACGGAAGACGTGCTGCTGCAGCACATCCAGCGCTCGCCCGTCTTCGACACATACACAGAGCAGCAGCACCTGGAGCTGTTCCGCCTCATCTGCTCCCAGGGAATGCTGCAAGCGTTCAAGGCCATGCACAGCAAAGTGGAGCCGCCAGTACCGTGCCCCGGCCACATCCCACTCGTCGCCACCGCGGCAGAGCACGGCCACCTCGCCCTCGTCCAGCACCTCTGTGACACGCAGCAGCTGGCCATGGCAGACCTGCGCCACGTCAACTCGCACCTCGTGCGGTCAGTGTGCCGCAACGGGCACGCTGCCGTGCTGCAGTGGCTGCTGGACGAGTACTGCTTCTCCCCGCGCGACATCAAGGGCGGATACAACGCCTGCCTGCGCTTCGCCTGCGGGAACGGCCACCTGTCCGTCATCCAGCTGCTCTTCTCCAAGTTCACCTTCACCATCAAAGACATCAGGTACTACGAGTGCCAGGCGCTGCGCGACGCCGGCGCCAACGGCCACGATCACGTCGTCACCTTCCTGCTCGACGCGTTCCCGGACTTGACCATCGACGACATCAACGGCGGCAACGGCTCCCTGCTCCGCCTCTGTGTCCAGCGCAACCACACGCACGTGCTGGACACCCTGCTGCACTACTTTGGGCGCGACCAGCTGCTCGCTGCCTTGCGCGCCATCCCCTCCCTCCACAGCATCTGCACGCCACTGCCAGTGCACCCGGGCCGCGTGCAGCACATGATGTCTCGCCGCTGCTCCCTGCAGAGCGACTTCTACGGCTCGAGCTTGGCCCAGGGCCTGGCAAGTAGCGGCAACACCAACCACGATGATGGCAGCAGCAGCCCTGACGATGCAAGGAGCGCCGCCAAGGAAGCACAGCCCGCCATACCAGCACACCTGCCGGTCTATGCCAAAGGTGTTGGCCTTCCCTACACGTCACTCGCACCGCTCACATCCCGCATCATCCACATCATCCCGCCACCGCCAAAGCCATCCTCCAACCGCGCTGCTGCCAACCACGATACCATCGACACAGACGCAAATGCAACAACAGTGTCAATGACAGTTCAGCAACAACAACAACAACAACAACAACAACAACAACAACAACAACAACAACAACAACAACAACAACAACAAGATGAAAGGAAAGAGAGCGAGGTGGATAGGAAGGTGCCACCGATACAGCCAGCTGCAGAAGCCCACGAACACCCACGCAAACAACATCAAGAGCAGCGGCAGCAACACGAATGTGGGCAGATGGCTCCACCTGCCAAATCGCGCGCCAAATCCGTGGCATTTGCGTCCTTGGCGCTGGTGGTGCTGCCCCCAGCTCGCTCCAACCCGATGACCCACTTGCTGCTCAGCGGCCCAGACGACGGCGCCGCATGCGCAACCGCTGCTGCCACTCACGGACACGAAAACGGTATTGCTGATGATGACAATGATTGGGAAGATGATGATGACGAGGAATCCAGTGCTGCGCGCCCAAACAACTGCACCCTCGCCAGGTTGTACAGCAGCAGCAGCAGCAGCAGCAGCGATGAGGAAGGTGACAGTGATGACAGTGAGATTGGACAGGTGCATGGTGGTGGTGACGGTAAGCAGCGGCCATCGGATGTGGTTTTGATCGGCCCCAGCGAACAAGATGCTCGTCACGAATGCCTGCAGGCAATTCATGGTGTCGACACACGCCGTGATGTTCGCCACAACAGGCGCAGCAACACCAGTAGCAGCGACGACAGTGACGGTAGTGACGATGACACGCCACTGTCGCCATCGTCATCGCAAACCTCACCCCCGCTGCCAAACTCGAGGCAACATGAAACGCAGCTCTATCGCCACCTCGACACGTCGATTCAGCGCAGTGCTACCATGCACGTACAATCACGGTCTCCTTCGCCAGCGTCGGGCAAAGTGAAGCTCTCAAGCCGGCACTTTTCGCTGCGTCGCGTGCCCTCCCCTCTGCCGTCGTCGTCATCGACACCAACGCTGTCTTCCTCCTCGCGTTCATTGTCGCCGATTCCACTTCGTGCCATCAAGTGCCGGCGTGAGAACAGCGCAGGCACTCTCTTCATCTGACGTGCCGTTTTGATTTGCTCTGTTTGCGTGTGTGTGTGTGTGTGTTTCTGTGTGCGCGTGTCTGTGTCTGTGTGTTTCTGTGTGCGCGCGTGTGTGTGTGTGTGTGTTTCTGTGTGCGCGTGTCTGTTTTGTGTGTGTGTGTGTGTGCGTGTGTGTGTGCGCGCGTCTGTGCGTGTGCTTGCCTGCTTGTTGCTGTTTCGGTAATAATTTATCCGTTGCTTTGATTTGTGTTATCATCACGACACGACACCTGTCGTGTCAAGTCTGTTACAACCTGCTCTGTTATCCAAAGCCACAATGTGAACGGCTAATACATCATGCGAAGACTGCATTCATGCGAGGAGGAGGTCTGGTGTCGTGGTGTGGCGCGATGTTAACTGCTGCTGCCGGTGGTGTTGGCAGCACGCTGTCGTCGTTGTCTCTGGCTTCGTCGCTGTGGCTGCTGTGGTTGTTGCTCTTCTTGTTGTTGCGGTTGCTCTTCTTCTTGTTGCGGTTGCTCTTGCTCTTGCTGCTCTTCTTGTTGTTGTTGCTGGTCTTGTTGCTGTTGCTGGTCTCCTCCTTGTTCATTTCCTTGTTCATCTCCGTGTCCTTCTTGTTCTTGTTCTTCCTGCTGCCGCTGCTCTTTTGCTTTGATCCAGCGCTCCAGCCGTTTGTCAAACGCAGACGATCCAATGGTCACCTGCAGAGCAAACACACACACACACAACACACACAATACACACACAACACACACACAACACACACACACACACAAACACACACAAACACACATGTTCGAAACGTTGGTGAGAAGGACGTGAAGACATTTCCTTGACAGGAGAAAGAAAGGGAACAAAGGGAACGAAAGAAAGGAATTGTTCGAAGGAAGGAAGAAGAAACGAAAATCACACACACACACACACGCACACACAGGCAGAAAAGCCCATGGGAGTTGAATGTGGTCCCCACGAATGTGAGTGGAAGCTGAAACTTGGGCTCCCTCCTAGATTATGGGGACGTACACCAAACCAGAGAGTGCTCAAATAAAAACCACCACACCCCCAACGGCACACATACATGTATGCAAGCGCACATCATCAAGCCGCAGTCGCCAACGTATGTCCACAAGCACGCGCGTCCTCCACCTCTCAAAAGCGACAACACACCCAAGCGCCCACAGCCCACACAACGTGACAGAACAGACGGCAGAGCGCAAGCATGCGTACACATGTGTAGTTGAAGTGACCACTAGCGGGCGCCGCACACAGAACGCAGAGGGAGGGGATAAAACCAAATGTGCGTGTGAACACAATCAGCAACAGTGGAGCAATGCCGCGTGCATGTGACAGAAGATGCAACCGCTGCAGTGAGAGGGGGCGGACAGGACGGCCACGGCAGATGGCGCGTCCTCCTGCGTGTCGCACGCACCCCCAACACCACAGCAATGCAGCGACAGCTTCACGCCCACACTGTGGTGACGTGTTCAGCACACACGCCCACGCCCACACCCACGCCAGTGAACAGCACAAGAAAAGCCCGCAACGGCCAACAAACAACAACAACAACACACATGCACGCGCGCGCTGTGCATGTGCAGTCAGTCACGCGGCCAACATACACAAACGCCCACACGTGCGCATAAGCACGGCTGTGGAGTTGTGGTGGCACGGGGCAGAGCAAGCGGAAGCGGTGGGAAAGAGCAACAAGAAGAAGCCGCGAAAGGGAAAGACGAGCGACACATGGACAGACGACTGCGGCATGACACATGTGCGATGCGTATGTGTGCGGTGTGGTGGCGGTTATGGTGCAATACTGTTGGAGGCAAAGGGCCGGTTCACCGACCCTGCAAAGCTTAAGCGGGAGGGAGAGGGGTGTTGCTGCCAACGAATCAGCCGAAAAGTACGGACATAATCCAACAGCAGCGCCCTCCGCTCAAGGGCAGACCTCCCATGCATTTTGGGGGCAAGGGGGGAGGGCACAGAGGATAGGGTGGGGGAACTGAAAACGATGAAGGAAAGGGAATGGGTGGGAATTGGAGGCAGATGGGAAAACAGGCGGAAGCACTGGACGATACGACCGAACACATCCACGCAACACCAGAGTACGCGCATCAGCATCATCGCCACCGCCACCGTCAACATCACAATCAGCACGTGTTACGTCAATCTCGGCGAGGTCTGTGGCGGTGAGGGAGTTCTTGGAGACGCGGCGATGGATGCCCCCGCTGAAGTTGGTCATCACCCGCTGCACGAAGACGACAGTGGTAGTGATGATAACGGTGGTAATGGTGATGATAGTGGTGGGGTGGGGGAGTACATGGAGGATGATAGTGGCGCTTGTGGTGTGAGATGGACATTGTGAGGCATTTCAGGTGGTGATTGGCTATGGCCGCAAGTGGAGTTGTTCAGACACACATGCACACTACATGCAGACGCATGCAAACAAGGGGCGGCCACTCACAGCACGCTTCGCGCGGTGCTCATGTAGGTGGTCCCTGTATTCCTCGGGCCGCAGCAGCGCAAACCGCCGCAAACACATGTTGTCCGTCCGCTTGAACCCCTTCGCCACGAGCGCTTTGGCGATGCGGCTCCACTTGGGCCCAAGCTCCGCCACCAGCGACAGCAAGGCGCCGTCTTCCGCCTGTGTGTGTGTGTGTGTGTGTGTGTGTGTGTGTGTGTGTGTGTGTGTGTGTGTGTGTGTGTGTGTGTGTGCTTTGTGAACGTTTGACAATGGCATTTCAAACCGCGTCATGCGCTCAACAGGCAGCGTGCACGATACAGCGCGCGTGATGTCATCCAAGGTCAAGAGCACGCACACCTCTGTCCATGCGCCCACGCCAGAGAACTTGAGGATGTTGCAGTAGCGCTCACGGCACTGCACGTCCGTCCGGCCGGGAACAAGCCGTTGCACCTGTTAAAACGTAGTGTGTGCGTGTGCGTGTGTGTGTGTGTGTGTGCATGAGCATGCAAGTCATAATGGCCAGCATGTTGGTTGACCATGTCTTGGGAGAATACAACACACACACAACAACACAACACAACACAACACAACACACAACAACACAACACAACACAACACGTGTGTGCCCCAAGAGTGCCGACCTTTGTCCACTGCCTGCCGTAGAGCTGGAGTCCCGTGCGCAGCTGCTCGTCCTCCTCGGACGTCCACCGCCCGCGCCGAATCCCTACAGCGGCAGTACACGTCAAAGTACACGGGCACGCATGGTGGTGAGGACAGAGTGCAGGCTGTGGGCTATGGGCTGTGGGCTGTGGTTCGTGCACTCGCTCTTAGTTACGGTGTGTGTGTTGTGAGAGAGATGGAGAGAGAAAGATGGAGAGAGAAAGAGAGAGTGTGTGTGTGTGAGTGTGTGTGTGTGTGTGCGTGTGTGTGTGTGTGTGTGTGTGTGTGTGTGTGTGTGTGTGTGTGTGTGTGTGTGTGTGTGTGTGTGTGTGTGTGTGTGTGTCCGTGGTTGATGGGAATTGCGGTCACAGAGGCTCTATGAACAGGGACAAGTTAACAAACCACCCAGTACCACATGTGTTCATACACACACAACTCCCTCTCTCTCACACACAAAAATGACCCACTCGGCACACCTCCTGCTTGGTCCACGCCTGGCGCTGCATGGCGTTGTTGAGGCTGCGCTGGTAGCGCACGAAGCAGTCCACCGGCTGGCGCGAGGGGAAGTGCTCAGCCACCTCCCGCCATGGCTACGGTCGTGTCAATCGTGGTGGGTTGCGGTCGTGGTGGTCAGCGGTGATGGAGAAAAGTAGTGACGGAGAAAAGGGCAACGGGGGTTTCGCACGCGCACACAGAAAGACAAGAGCGGCACATGTGCGCTGACCTGGCTCGGGTTGTTGTGCATGTGCAGCACAAGCGCTTTGTCGTCCTGCCTGGTCCACGCCACGCGCCTGCGTTTTGGGGACTCATGATGCAACCAGCGGGACCGGCAGTCCGGTGCTGTCCGGTTTTCCAGCTGCACAGCGATGCGCTCCCAGCTGATGTCGCGCTGCTCGTCAATGTCCGCCACCAACGCCGCAATGGACTGCTTCTCAAGCTGTGCTCGCACGCACAGGCCATGTCGGTCGTGCGCAGTGAACGTGCGTGTGTGTGTGTGTGTGTGTGTGTGTGTGTGTGTGTGTGTGTGTGTGTGTGTGTGTGTGTGTGTGTGTGTGTGTGTGTGTGCGTGCGTGCGTGTGTGTGTGTGTGTGTGTGAGGGGATATGACTCTGCGTGCGCGCGCGTGTATGAGAGACAGCAAGACTCTGCGTGCGTGCGCGTGTATGAGAGACAGCAAGACTCTGCGTGCGTGAGGGTGTGCGTTCAAGTGTGGCGTGTACACTGCCACTTGACACAGATCACCATGACGCCAGCCTTTCATCGCCCCCGTCACGGTACCTTGCGCATCTGCTCAGACTGCTTTGCGGCCAGGGCCAGCTGCTCCTGCGAGTAATCGCGCCGCTTCACCTGTCGCATAAACGCATAACTACAGCGCCGGGCAGAGAGACAACGGACACGGTGTGGATGTGAGCGCGTGCATCCAATGGTCATGGGTGCGCATGCAGTCAACAGACACTAAACAGCACTGCCCAGTCAATTCGCTTCATCAACCTACACACACACACACACACACACACACACACACACACACACACACACACACACACACACACACACACACACACACACACACACACACACACACGCACACTTGCACGCACACTTGCACGCACACATGCACACACAGAGCAGGGCCAAACCTTGGGTCGGCAAGGACGCGTGAGCGTGCAATGTGCTTGGCTTCAGAGAGCACGGCCTTGCGCAACGTCTTGAGCTCCTCCTTGCTCCACGGCAGGTCACGGTGCAATGCAGAAAAGCGGTCCTGTTGTGCACGCGCACGTGCCTGCAGCGGATGTGCCGGCGGGCGTGCTGAGCTGCTGGACACATGGAAGTATGACAGGTGGCGGTAGCGGCTTGGGGCATATCGCTCGCCATAGAAGAAGCCCTTGCCACGGCGACCGCCAACAGCACGCCACTCCATGCTATTCTGTGGCTGTGGTCCGTGTGACCTTTCCCACACAGGCTCCTCTGCTTCTGCTTCCTCCTCCTCTTCTTCGTCTTCGTCCTCAAAGCCAGTGTTATCATGAGCATCGTCACCACCATCGCCACCGCTTACGTGCTGCGGCTCCCCCAACTTGTGCTGGCTGCCACCAGCGCCATCGCCCTTGCCCAGAGGCTCCCTGTGTGGGAGTGAGCGTCCGAGGATTGGCGGCGGTTTCCACGCCACGGCTGTGTCGAGCGAGGTGGCCACGCCCGGGTCGTCAGTGCGTGTGCTGCCGGGTGCGCTGTTCTCTGCCGCGGCCAACTCTGCAGCATCCAGTCTTGCTTGCTCCCGGCGAAGGCGCTGCTGCGTTGCTCGAATCTGTGCAAGCTGCGCACGCAGTGCTTCCTGGTACACCATGTTGAGGGCAAGCGTGTGCACGGCCGCGGTCTTGGGCACATCCAACGAATCGCACACCTGGCGCACGCGCGCCTGAATGGCATCTTCCATTGGTGCGCCCAAGCCTGGCTTGTTGTCTCGCTGCTGAGCAGACGAGGCAGGCAATGGCTGTTGTTGAGGCTGTGCTTGGTTCCGTTGAGGCGTGACTGGCGTTGGGACAGGCAGTTGGACCACACCTGGGGCGCTGTGCGTAGGTTGTGGTGGCTGCTTGGAGTACATGTTCATGGTGTATGGCCCAACCACTGGAAGCGTCGATGCAGCTTCTCCAACCGAGTCCAAGTCGTCATTGAAGGTGTCGTCGTTGAAGGTGTCATCGTCAAAGTCGCCGTCATCATCCTCGTCATCCTCGCCACCACTGTCGTCGCCGCCGCGGGCAGCTTCTTGTCCACCGTGACGGTGTTCTGTGCGTGCACTATTCATGTCGATGGGAAGAAACATGTTCATGGTGGAGTGCTCCGGCCCTGTCTCCGCTTCATCGTCACTGTCATCGAAGATGGTTCGTGTGGGTGCGGTGGTGTTTGTTTGCCGGTCGCCATCCGTGTTGTTGTGGGTAGAGGAACCGAGGCTGAACCCCGGCTCCATCGTTTTGCAAACTCAGGTTGATGCGATGCTTAAATCCCCTCCCCCCAAACACACACACACTCTCTCTCTCTGTCTCTCTCTCGCAGTGAAAGAGGCCCTTGTTTGTGGTGTTTGTGTGAGGTTGTATTGTATGGTGTAGGGGGAAGAGCGTGCACACAACACGCACGTTGAAGGCTGAGCGCGCAAGTGAGCGTTCGTCAGAGCCACACAAACGTGAGGCAGTTGCGGAAAAGTTGCAATTGCACAAACAAAAGGAGTGCAGTGATGGTTGGCGGATTAGTTGGTGGTGTCCCAGGTGATCTTGATGGTGGACCTGTTCGGGGTGGAGGAGAGGAAAGAGGGGGGGGGGGAGGAGAGAGGAGAGGGATGTCGTGGGCAGTGTGCGGTGAGTCATGCACCGGCATGCAACAACAAAGCGTGAGCGAATTGGGCCGTGATTTGACACGCACAGGTGGCAGCAACAGTGGGGATAGAGTGGCAGACAGGTCACTATCATCATGCAGCGTGCGGTGACATGTGGAAACGCTGACGTACTCGTCCACGATGTGGGCGCGGTTGTTGCAGACGTCGTCGACGTAAGCAGTGGTCCACTGGGGGCTGACCTGCACGCACGTGTCGCACGCAGCAAACACACACCGCAAACACGCGGGCGTCACTGGAGCGTACGTTGATAACAGCGCCGACTACGCCAACCAGCATCCGTTCACAGCACACATACACACACACAATGGCTTGGGGAACGTACCGTCTGGTTGTTGTATTGGACCTTAATGTCGTAGAAGGTGACCTCACCATCTGGAGGATACTGGTCGCAGTCCCACTCCTTCTCAAACACAAAGTACACTGGTGGGTGGTGGAGCGATTTGGATGGGTGGTGAACAGCGGTGGTTAGAGGGGTTGATGACATGAAGTGGGAGAGAGCAACGGCGAAAGAAGGTGTGCTTTGTTGTGCAACCAACGCTATCATAGAGTCGTTTGCGACAGGACAAACGCTCAAACGACAGCAGTGTACGTCAGACCAGCAGAGCAAAGAAGTGCGTTCGCCACTGGCAACAACAACAACAACAGCAGGTAGCAGCAGCAGTCGTAGTAGTAGCAGCGATGAGAACACGCTGCTCGCTTACCAATGGTGTACTTCTTGTAGTCGCCACCAGAGCGCTGCACGGGGATCTCCGTCGTCACGCTCCAGCCATCGTTCATGTCCTGAAGGGGGGGGCAAGGGATGCAGGGCACAAACAAAGCCCGTGTCGTGTGAGGGTTTGGGGTACGGCAGAAGAAGGTGTTGCGAGAATGGCTCCTGGTTATTGGAGTGATGGCAGTGTGGAGCTACAATGCAAACCCCAAGGTGCACAAAGCCTCATGCATGCGTGGCTCACACACACACACACACACACACACACACACACACACACACACACACACACACACACATGCACACATGCACACACACACATGCACACACACACATACCAACACACGTATGCATATTCACACACCTTGTGGAACACCGTGTATGAGTTCTTGGACGGGTTGTAGGAGACGGAGCCAAAGAGCACATCGCCGGGGCGCACAACGTGGGCCTCGCTGTTGTAGTTGTGGGTGGGCACCCACTGGAAATACTCTGCATCACACAGGTGTGCGTGTTGTTGTACAGCAGCGTTAGACGGCATCTGAGGATTGTGGTGCAGTGGCCAGCACACTGCTGCATCCACACAACACGCACACGAGCGCACGAATGCACAGAACACGTACACGAGCGCATGGATGCACACGCACACGCACACGCACGCATACACAAACCGTTGTAGATCTGCCACTGATTGCCAGTCCAAGGGTTGACGGGCTGGATGAGGTTGAGGTTGTCAGAGGTCTCAATGCCAAACCTGGTGGATGAGAAGCAATGGATGGCATTGTGAGGCATGAAAGATCGGCACACACACGCGCGCATGCACTCACACACACACATATGCACTCACAAAATACACTCACTCACGCACACACGCATGCACACACACACACACACTCACATCACACACGACTGACCAAGGGGAGAAGAAGGCGCCCCCACGGCGAGGGTTGGAGCCAACCCGCCACTTGGCCTCAATGTACGTGATGATACCCTTCAGAGGCGCAGCGCGAGAGAACGTCGCATGAGAGGAGTGATGTGTGATGCAGCGTGTGCGTGTGTGTGTGTGTGTGTGTGTGTGTGTGTGTGTGTGTGTGTGTGTGTGTGTGTGTGTGCATGTACTTGAGGTGCAAAGTGTGTTTGTTTCAGTGCACTGCTTGATTGACATGCAACACCCACTGAACCAACCTCGCCGCTTGGGTTGACACCCTTGGCGTAGCCAAGCCATCCCTCAGCGGGATCTTGGGCGACGGCGCAGCCAGCCACCTACACACACGCACAAACAAAGTGCAAGACAACAGCGTTGTTGTTTGGTTTGGTCAGCGACGCGGATGTGGGCCAGCGTGTGTGTGCCAGTGTGTGCATTTGTCAGTGTGTGTGTGTGTGCGTGTGTGCGCGCGCGCGCAGTCTGGGAATGTGCAGATGTGTGTGCAGATGTGTGTGCAGATGTGTGTGCAGATGTGTGTGCAGCGTTCACACATGCATCGTATCATGCCAGACACACAAACAACCAAACACACAACCACATGCATCACAACATCAGTGCTCACCGCAAGGAGGAGGAGAAGAGCAGCAGATGGCACCAACATCGCAGCGATCTTGGAGCAGCAAACAAAACAGTGGAGGAAAATGCAATGCGTTTCGTGCTGTCGATTTCATTATCCACCGTGGCTGTCCTTCTTTGGTTCGTGCTTGTTGATCTCTGCGTTGCTTTCCACCAGCCCTCATCCATCCACAGCATCAGCGGGCTTCCATCCACCCACCCATCAACGCTTGCTTCATCCCCGAGACCAGCCAACAAACTGTAACAGGGCCAAAAGCTCAAGGACCTGACGGCCTTGTTTCCAGCAGACAAGCGGACAAACATGGCGGCCAGATTGATGCGAGGAAGAACAGTTGCGGCGGCCGCCACAGCTGCGGGGAGGGGGATGGCGACGTCGGGAGGCTCAATGGCAGCAGTGGCAACGAGGAGTGTGCAGGGGGAAAGCTATGGTGCTCTTGAGCGCTCACGCCCTCCTCGGTGGCAGCCAGGAAGACAACAACAGGTGCGATCGCAGGCGCATGTCGCTTACCAGGCCAGCGTGCTGGGCTGGCAGTTTGACTTTGAGACGCCAGAGTCCTGGCTTGAGACACAGGCGATCCCAGACCTGCGCGAGCAGCTGATGGAGGACGGTTTCCTGCAGATCAACGGCGTTCTTACGCCGCGCGAGCTGAAGCTGTACAAGCGCCTGTACAAGGCGTTCCTCAACGGCACCATCGACAGCGAGCTGCATCGGCACGATCTTGGGTCTCATCAGCCCGCACAGACAAACGAGCACGAAAACGTCATGCAGATTATGTGGCCCAGCGACTACGTCAAGCACCTCGCCCAAGTGAGACTGTATGTGTGCGTGTGTTTGTGTGTCTGTGAGTAGGTGTGTCTGTGCGTTGGTGTGCGTGTGTGTGTGTGTGTGTCTTTGTGTGTCTTTGTGTGTCTTTGTGTGTGTGCGTAGGTGTGCGTGTCTGTGTCTGTCTGTGTGTGTGTGTGTGTGTGTGTGTGTGTGTGTGTGTGTGTGTGTGTGTGTGTGTGTGTGTGTGTGTGTGTGTATGTGTGTGTGCGTGCGTGCGTGCGTGAGGAAGAGAGTTCCTGTTTCGTGGGCTTTTCCCCACCTCCTCTTGTTCCTCCCCCCCCCCCTGTTCTGCTCCCGTCTCCTTACACAACCATCATCGGAGAGCACTCGCGTGCGATTGCACGATGTGCTGCTCTGCTCACGTTGAATGCGCCCCCTCCTCACTACATGCATGGCATTGAAACCGCTGCAGGGTGCAATTCACTCCCGGACAGCACTTCTGGCGCGTGTGCTTGTTGGTGATGAGATGACATTCGACTTTGACATGCTCATCGCCAAGGGACCGCACACCAACACTGCCGTGCCATGGCACCAGGACCAGGCGTACTGGCCTGACCTCCCAGATACCCGCGCCCTCTCATTCTGGGTGCGGCGGACTTGGGCTTGGTGCTGTGTCTGTGTGTCTCTTTCTCTGTCTGTGTCTGTGTGTGTGTGTCTGTGCGTACATCTGCGGCTGTGTCTGTGCGTACATCTGCGGCTGCGTCTGTGTGCGTGCGTGTGTCTTTCTGTCTGTCAGTGTCTATTTGTGCCCATCTGCCTGCCAGCGTGCATGACTGCCTTCTTGTTTGTAGCTTCCTCTTCCTTCCTCATTCGCCCCCTTTATGTACACGCCCCTTGCTGTCATGTCACTGCCTGCGTTGATGTCAATCGCCGACTGATATTCAGGTGGCCATCGACGAGGCGACACCAAGCAACGGTTGCATGCAGTTTGGTACGTTGGTTGTTTGTGTCACACTGTACTGGCTGCTGAACTTCCCCCCCCCCCCTCCTTGACACCACCTGAGTAGCAAGATGAGGAGGACGGGGAAAAAAGGGACACATGCACCGGTCACTGGCACTGCTGCTCGTGTCGCTCTATGAAGCTGTGATTGCTCAACGCCTTGCTTTGTCCTCCTGTTCCTGTGCACACACACACACACACACACACACACACACACACACACACACACACACACCGCTCTGGCTGTTTAGTCCCTGGAAGCCATCTTGCTCCTCTGCATCCACACGTGCCTGCAAGCGAGGGACATCACGTCCTCTCCACAACACAGGACATTGATGATGTGAGGGTTTTACGACAACACGCCCTTTCTGCTTGACCTAAATTCCACTTGCACACGTCTCACTGCCTCGTTCCTTCTGAACACACACACACACACACTCACTCACACACATACACATACACACGCATGCATACATTCACGCGCATACATGCGCTCACAAATGAACGCAAATACAAACCCCCTCCCCCCCCCCCTCCTTGTTGCAAACTTCTTTCGCAGAGCAAACGTTGTGTGATTCCGTTGCCTGCAGGCTCGTGCACGGCCCACTTTGGGAACACATTGCACGGGACGGGCGGCAACACAACGGATGCTTGGCGTCGTGCCTTCATCGTCAACTACAGGCCGTGGGCCATGGTGCAGTTTATGCGGCAGCGCGGCTTTGATCACGGCCGTGCAGGCGTCAACAGCGCCGGCGAGAGCAGAGAGCACGGCCAAGTGGTGTGACGACGACACCCGACACACCTCCGGTGGCAGCATTGCCCATCCACTATTCTCCGTCTCCGAACCACTGCCGCAACGGCTGCTCTGGCCAAGCAGTGTCATGCACGGCGATGGCGCCGCGTTGCAGGCCTGCCGTTGTGCGCTTTCCCATTCTGTTCATAGTCAGCCACACTCGTGGTGTGCCACAACATCCCTCACATCACACGAACAAGTCAGCACGTGTCCATTCACCACTCTGTTTTGCTAATTGGGTTTCTGTCAGGGGTCGCACTCAAAATAAACAAACAGCTTTCATTGCAACACGAACAATTGTCACGGACCATGCCAGCAACGCAGAATGATGTGAATCAACACTGAAACAGCACTGCACGTCCGCCAGGCCTTTGCTCGTACACGTGCACACACGACATGTTTTATCACAGCTCCCCCCCCCCCGTGTCAGCATGCAACGTGCATTTGCGCGTGCGTTTTCACACGTTAGAGGGATTGCACGAGGTCGGTGAGTCGCTGAAGACGGGCAGATCGCGCCGCTTCGTCGACATCACGTGCGCTGCTAGCGATGGTGCTGGACTTGCTGCTCTTGGACGCTGTGGACTGCTTGATGCGGCCGCCACCCTGGTTTCTTGCACGATGCATGCGCTTCTCGAATGCCTGCAGGCAAGCATTAGAAACGAAGAGTCGGTAGGTCCGTGTGATTGAAACAGCGAACAGATCACAAAACAACGAGGCGCGAAATGAGCGCGAGGGCCCCACAGTTCGGGGTCAAACCACACACACACCAAAAGGGTGCAGAGAGACGCATGCCGCCCGCACAGGCAAACATCCTTCCCTGCACGCAACCAACACATGGTGTCACCTTGAGCGCCTCTGCGGCTTCGCGCTTGACGGCAGCGGACCGAGACGAACCGCCGTTGGTGGACAGATGCCGCAAGGACCCTGACAGTTTGTAAGTGCGGGTGTGTGTGTGAATGTGTGTGTGTGTGTGTGTGCGTGTGCGTGTGTGTGTGTGTGTGCGTGTGCGTGTGTGTGTGCGTGTGCGTGTGTATGTGCGTGCGTGCATTGTGTGTGCGTGTGTGCATTGTGTGTGAATGTGTTTGCTGGGTGCAACACGGTATATCGCACACGCCATGTCGCTCACACGATACACAAAACAATGCAAACAGAACAATACACAAAGATCACCTTCAAGGTTGAAATGGTTGTCTTCTGCGAGGGCAATGACGGGCTCTCTGCCGCTCAACAGATGCCGCAAACAGCAACACGCCTATGTGTGCATGGTAACAGCAAGTGCGAGTTTAACGAACGAACAAGGGGCGGGGGCAGCAATACAAGAGTGACTCAAACCAGCACAACTCTAAGCATTTGAGCCACCGCTCGCACCTGAGACACGGAGAGTTCATCCAAGTCGGCCAGCACCATTTGAAACAGCATCTCCAGACCCCCTTCACCAGCAGGGCCAGCAGCATGTGCGTCATGTACATATGGGAGAATGTGTGTGGTAGTGTGCATGTGCATGTGTGTGTGTGTGTGCGTGAGGGCGCTTTAGGGGCCACATTCATACTCCAACAAAAGCGCGACACACACACACACGCATGTACACACACACACACATTGTCGCTGACCTTGATCGATGACTTGGTGGTGCTCCCCTCCTTCACACAAACTCAAAAGCACAGAGGAGACCTCAGGCAGATGCATCTTGCCTTGAATCGACTGCGCAAGATCCACAATCACCGCAAGGCCTGAACACAAAAGCGTATGTGTGTGTGTGTGTGTGAATGCGCGATGACTTATTCAAACAGTAGGGACGGACAGCAACCAGGACTGCATCAACCAGTCCCACTTTCTTGTGTTGCATGACGTCGGGCTTCTATCCGCCACACGCACCTACACGCACCTACACACACACACACGCACACAGACACACACACACACGCACACAGACACAGACACACACACACACACACACACACACACAGCTCACGCACTCGCATGCGCCACACCACCCAGCAGGGCCCACCTTCGAGGCTCAGGAATGCCAAGCAAACGTGGTCCGACTCCAACAGCACTGTTGCGATGGCCAGCAGCGTCGCACTCACAACATCCTGCACACACACCCCATGCATAATTGGGTTTGCAAAGGAAAACAAGGCAAGACGGATCACAGCTCTGTGTGAGTGCAGCTGTGGAAGTTTGAAACGTACTGCGCACCGTATGCACACACACACACACACACACACACACACACACACACACACACACACACACACACACACACACACACACACACACACACACACACACACACGCACACAAAATCACACACACACACACACAAACGCAGCAATGATCAAGGTGACGCACGTGACTTTGCCGTTGTTGCGTTGCCGTGTCGTCGTCAGCATCCACCGCATTGATCACAGATGCAGTTGTCTTGGTCGGGCTGACGGGAGGTGTGCGCTTTGATTGCTGCTGCTGTTGCTGCTGGTGGGGGTGGGGGTGGTGACGACGCGGGAGCTTTGGGCTGGCACGCCCTGTGATTGCTGGAAGGGAAAAGCCAGAGCTTCTGGAGCTGCGGTCCTCATTCTCTGCAGCGAGAAACGTATAAAACGCAGCAGGTGAAACGTGAGGCAGCAGTGACAAGGCTGACAGGAAGGATGGGATTCGATGATGTGCGATACGGCAATGAAGTTTGTGGACACGAGCGAATCGACTGGCCAAGCAGGTGAAGCGAGAAGATCAATGTGAATATGGTGGATGCACGGCTGTGAGCGACATTGTGTGATACATACGTACCCCAGGCTGTTGCGGCGTTGTTCAGCATGGAAATAGCCAGTTCAAAGAAGCGCGCGTCTGGGAAAACAAGAGACATGGTTCAACGCAGAGAAAGAAGGCCGCCAATTCAGATACGTGAGTTCAAGCTTCGCACCTCCGCATCGTCGTGCCTTGGCAGTCGCTTGGCCGCACATGCGCCACATGCACATTGACAGAAGAACGCGCGCATGCTCGCACATTTGTGTAGCTCGTCAACACACCAGATGGAACACACACACCTGCAATCTCTTGTCTCAGCCCAGAGTTCTCTGCGAGAAGGGTGATGACTGCGAGTGCTTGGGCTTGGCTGGAGAGGCTCTTTCGTACACGCTTGGTTTCGTGTGCACTATCACAAGTTGCAACGCACACACAACAAGCGTCAGAACTCGCTCTTTGTGCACGCAGACATATGTGCAAGCGTGTTTACACGTACGTGTATAGGTGTATGTGTGTGTGTGTGTGGTTCATGTTGGCGCTGGCGGTCGTTGTTGAGTCGAGAACGCACGCGTGTCCAAGCCACGACAAGCTCACACTCTCTATCAATACACACGCTGACACACACACACACACACAAACACACACAAACACACACACACGCACGCACGCTGACACACACACACACACACAAACACACACAAACACGCACACACACACACACAAACACACACACAAACACACACACACACATACACGGACCTGATGAACTTGATGAGCGTGGGGACAGCGCTCAAGTGCTGGAGTTCTTTGTGGAGCGCAAGATGCCAAGCACAGGCCATGCTGCATGTGAGAATGGTGGAAAGCCTTGCATGCAGGCAAGCCAACCCCGTCACGCAGTCGACATTGATGTCGCTTGTTCTCGTTCATCCATACGTGTCGGGCGAGATAGCAAGAAGCTTACCCTCAGTGGCCACTGCGTGCTCCTCGCACAACAGCACATTCAAACAATTCAGGATGCTTTCAGCGAGATCATTCGCACAGCCTGCATGCATGTGTGCACGAGATTGGTGCCGTGATTAGTGCATGTGTAAGCACTTACAGCATGACGCAGGGCGTGTGTTTGAAGGCGGGATGGGGGATGATCCATCCATGCAAGCACATGGAACGTCACCCATCCATCCAAAAAGGCACATGCGCTGCGAAGCAACCTCGCTTCAGCAATGGCCTGAAGCATGTGTGCATGCACGCACACCATACCGTTGCGGAGCTGGGCCAAGCATGCAGCCAGGCCTTCATCGCGCGTAAACTGCCACAACAGGTGCAGGGAGGGATAGATAGATTACAAACAACACGTGCATGTGTGAGTGGGGGCGAAAGGAAGACAGGGGTGGCTGTGACGTGACATGTGGATGGGCACGTGCTGGGGAATACAAAGGGCTGTGGTGGGCACAAGACAACAAGAGGTTCATGCCCTTGTGCTTCTTCAACCTTGCGACGTGCGTGTGGTTCCAGAAACAGCGCAGCCAGACATTCTGCAGCTGGGCGAGCAAGCTGAGGAGGCTGGTCAAGCCGCAGCTTTTCAACAAGCACATCCACGGCCCTAGTTGAATATGTTTGTACATTGTTGTGCGTGTGTGTGTGTGTGCGTGTATGTATGTGTGTGTGTGTGCGCGCGTGTATGTATGTGTGTGTATGTGGGTGTGGGTGTGTAGGTGTATGTATGTGTATGTGTGAATATGCGTGAATGTGTGTGAATGTGTGTGTGTAGGTGTGTGTGGCGTTGGTTGTTTGGTGAGGGAATGACTTGGTGCGTCAAGACACAAAACCACACACATGTATGTGTAGACGCACATCACATCACTCAACCTCCTCCCTCATTCTATTCCATCCTTGCCGCAGCCTCTCCAAAGAGCACTCTCGTACAACACCACGCACGCACGCACTCACACAGACTCTCATCACTCACATTCGCAAAACGCACTCTGCTTCGTTGAGTATGGCGAGTTTGCGACGAGCGTAAGGGCTCCGACACGTGATTGCGGATACGCAGTTCAACAGGACTGTCTGATGTTGTTGGGACAACTCCACGCGCAGCTGCTGGCTGAAGTAGTCCACGAGCATGTCCAGCTCCTCGTCTTCCTCGTCTTTCTCGTTTTGTTGCTGGGTTGTGTGTTCAGGCATGGTGGTGCCCACACAGATAGCCCACAGTGCCTTTAAGCATGCATGCTGCACCCTTGGGCTGGTGGTAGCGAGTTTAAACGCGACAAGTGAGTGTGTGAGGTGTGTGTGTGTGTGGGGGGGGGGGGTGGGGGGATGATGAAATGAGGATGAGGGTGCTTATTGTTATGTGCTGGCCAGTTTCGTGTGAAAAGAACAACCACAGTGACTGCACTGGCTGTAGCCGATGTGAGTCAGAGTCATCTCAACAGACAGAGAGGGAGGAAAGGACGCAGAGACGGGGACAGGGAGACAGGGAGACAGGGAGACAGGGAGACAGGGAGACAGGGAGACAGGGAGACAGGGAGACACAGACAGAGAGACAAAGAGAGAGAGAGACAGACAGACAGAGACAAAGAGAGAGAGAGAGAGAGAGAGACGCACTCTCACCCATGCACACCCACAACACAACACGTAGTCAACATACACACGTACACATACACATGTAAACGTACACATACACAAACACATACACGTACAGAAACACTCAACCCTCCCTCAACAACAAAAACACGTCCGAGTACGACCACGCTCAACCACCTCACTGGCACGCAGCACAACCTTTGCCCATCTCCCTTCCCTTCCGCAGACACAAACCTGGTGTCGCCCCATGTTGTGAGTGGCTGCAAGAAGGGCCGCAACTCCGACAGCAGCAGTGGCGGATCGGCCTTGAGCACTGTCTCCTCGCAGCCGCGACAAAACCGCTCACACACCACATCCATCCTCGTTGTGTGCAACAACAAACAGCGCCTCGCTTCTTCGTTCTTGTATCCAGGCAGCAGGGTGCTTTTGTTTTGTGTGTTCGCTGACTCAGCAGATTCGCTCTCCCGCCTGTTGTTGTTGTTTGTTTTCAAATCGCGCGGCGCCAACGCGTGCGGAAAATTCGTTGTGTGGCGTTGAACACACACGCGCGCGTGCGCGTGGGCAATCAACGAACAGATTTTACGTTAGAAGCAGCCGCCATTCCTCACCAACGCGACGCAATCTGCAGGTACTGACCAACTCGCGTGGTTGCTTGACAACAACGTTGCCAAGTCGTGGGTTGTGATGGACAAAGCGGCGTGGCTTGTTTTGCATGCAGGCACGAGGAAGTGCAAGTTTCACTTTTCCCGCCAGCCAGTTTGCCCCACTATTCACCCTCTTCGCCACCCACGCATGACGCACTTCCGACCACGCAGACACAGGGGAGCAGGAGAGGAGGAGAGGAGGAGAAACGCACGCGCGAACTGGAGTGCCCAGGGTCAAAACCGCTCATGTTTTGCTGTTGCGAAGCACTTCCATTCGCACCTCTGGTGTGCCCCGGAGCGTTGTGAAGCACTTCCTTTGTCTTTGTCGTGTGCATTTTCGTGCTGTGCTCGGAATCCTGCTTGCACACGCAACCATGCCAAACGGCATTACGCGGTCCTTTGTTTTGTCCGCCCAACATCAAGCAATAATCTCAACCATGCCTCAACCACGCACGCTACGCGCCTAACCGAAATCCGCGCGAGGTTTTGACGCTTTGACGACCGGGCCCGCCACACTTCCCAAACACTTCCCCCCAACCAACCCACGCAACCGACAACGCGAACTAACACCAACAAAGGGCACACAATACACACACACACTGGCCAAAGAAGCAAAAACCCCAAAAGCAAGCCACACTCGGGCTTGGTTGTTGTTTTTTCGCTGGGTGGGTGGTGTGGCTCTTGGACAAGAAAATAGGCAGGCAAGCAAGAAGGAAGCCAAGCAAGGAAGCTGAGGCTGGACGCGCGGTGCGCCGTTCTTTTGGCTTGTTCTTCTTGTGTGTTGTTACATTTGCTCACCCTTGTGTGCCATCTTGCTTCTTGCCTGTTTAGCAGTCGCCACTGACTGGCTTTGTTGGCTCATCATTCACCACAACACCCACAACACCCTGCCTTACCACCACGAATACCAACACACACACCCTTTCCTCCTTTGTTTGGCTGCTGTGTTGGGTAGTCAGAGAGACAAGCACGCACGCGCGCCATCTCTTTGTCTCCCTTCCTTGTGGCCTTGAAGGCGGTGAGTGAAATGTGTCGTGAACTGCATGCCTCTCTTCCACCACCACTACCACCACCACCACTACCACCACCACTTTGTTCCTTTGTTCTGCCACTCCCTCACTTCATTTCACCCCACTTATCAATGACCTGGGTATCTCATTGCGACGCACACACACACACACACACACACACACACACACACACACCTCTCGTCAGGCCAAACACGAAACATCACACACTCTCCCATTTCTCTTCCAAGCCGCACTTCCAAACACAGGTTTGTCCTTTGTGTGTCTCTCTCCCGCTCTGCGCTTCCTGCCGTTGCTTGCGACTTGCTTCTCGTGCTTGAGTACGCGCAACCAAGCCGCTATTTCGCTCGCGGTGCTTGGTGTTGTTCTCTCCCGGGCCTTCTTGCGTCTTGCGTCTGCTCTCGCCATTTTCACGCTGCATCGTCGTCCTTGCTTTCGCTCGCTGCTTGATGAGAGTTTGATTCCGAAATAACACCGCCACCGCTCACACCCTGACCTGCTTGGCGTGCCTTCTTCTTCTTTCTTCTCTGTCCTCCTCCACATCCTCCGCATCCACATGCTTTCTCCCATTCTCTCCTTGCCGGCTCAAATTCCACCCTTCCAGCCATCTACACACGCCGAGACGCAGACCTATCCCGTTGACGCTTCCTCCTCCCACCACCACCGCCACGACTGCACCCACGCGCGCTCTCAACACCAATCACACGAGCCAGAGCTTGTGTTGTGTTTGCCTGAGCCTTGCCGCAGCGCAGTCCGTCCTCATTTTGCTGCTTTCATCTTCGCCTCGTTCCCATCAGCTTGAGGCGCGTCTGTGACCACCACCCTTCCCCTCTTATCGTTTTGTCTGTTGACCAGACCCCTGCCACCAACGCTCTCCTCCTCCTCCTCCTCCTTTCCTCCTCCCCCATTTCTCCCTCCTCTCTCGCTTCTTCTCCTTCGCTCTGTGAGTGCGAGTTCATCCGGAACCCGCTTTGCACACCACCCTCGATCGTGCCTGTGGCACAAGGGCATGCGCTGAGCTGCAATGTCCAACACATATCCCGGTGTGCCTGCTTCCTCCTCCTCCTCTTTTGCCTCGACATCCCTGTCTCCGCTGCAGCACTCTAGAACAGCAACTGCCAAGACAACCAACACCACGTCAAGAGCAACCCCCACGCCGCCGCCGCCCCGGCTCTCTGCTTCGCCGGAGGCACTCGCGGCAACCTTCCCATCAAAGGTGTGTGTGTGTGTGTGTGAACACAACGTTGTCGTCTTGTCTTTGTGGGTTCCCTTCCCTTCCCCGCGTCTGCTGTTTGTTCTTCTCTCGACAACAGACAGCACTTGCCAATGTGTGGCCGTTGAAACACGCACACGCACACACACACGCCGATATCAGCAGCAGCTGCAACACCCACCACCACCACCACCACCACCCTCTCGCAAGCGTTATCCAGCAACCGCCTTTGTTGGTTGGCGCTGTTGCTGGATGTTGTTGTTGTTGTTGTTTGTGTCAGCTCAAGCCACAAGCGCGCGAGACGTACTTTACTTTGTCAGGCAGACATTGAGTGCTTTGCCTCCATTTGCCACTTGCTTCTTTCTTTGGCGCTTGGCTCACTTCCACCAACACACCACTTGCTTGCTCGCGCGCACACGCATCCACATGTCGCCTATTCAACGGAAACTGTGTCTCTTGTGCCTTGTGTCTTGTGTCTGTGTTTGTGTGCTTGTGTGTTTATGTACGTTTCCATTTCTTCTCTCCCCTCCTCCTCCCCCTCCTCCTCGCCTTCTTTGTCTTCCACAGAAGGCATCGCACATTGTCGAAGCGCGCAGTTACCGCCGTGCAGCTGTCAAGTGCTTGCAACAAAGCGACGCCATCTCCGCCGCACACAACTACAACAAGGCCCTCGGCCTTCTCCGCTCAGGGTCACACTCGCTGGTACGTTGCCAACCACGCCACACACACACACACACACACACACACACACACACACACACTCTCTCTCTCTCTCTCTCTCTCTCTCTCTCTCTCTCTCTCTCTCTCTCTCTCTCTCTCTCTCTCTCTCTCTCTGTGTGCCCTTTGGGTGTTGGGTTTGCTTGCAAGCAAACGACATTCAACGGTCGTCGCTTGCTTTGTTCGTTGTTTTCTTTGTTTGGGTTTGATGTTGGTTGTGGGCATACACGTCATGAAGGATGAGTTCGTTACGCATACATTTCTCGCTCGTTCCCACACGCACGACCATGCTGTCTGTCTCCCCACACGCACATGTTTTCTGTCCCAACCACCATGTTGGCGACTACCAATCCCCATGCCGCCCCAACCATGATTGGAATGTGTTCACTGACCTACCTCTGTTCTTTGTTGTCATCTTCTTGCCATTGATCATCCTCTCCCTCCTCCTCATGCAGAGCGAAGAGGTGTCGATGTTGGTGGACCTTGCGCGGACTTTACTCAAGTCCAACCACGTTGACGAGGCTGAGGTGAGCTCGGTGTGTATGCGTGCCTGTGTGTGTGTGTGTGCCTGTGCCTGTGCCTGTGCCTGTGCCTGTGCCTGTGCCTGTGCCTGTGCCTGTGCCTGTGCCTGTACGCGCGCGCACGCGCACGCGCGTGTGTGTGTGTGTGTGTGTCTTCTATGTGTGACTCTGCCTGTCTAGCTGACTGTCGGTTAGCTGTCTTGTCTGCCCTACCTCCCCTACTTACCCCCGCCCCCGGCCCCCTTCTTCTCCTCCCTACCCGTCTCACCTCATCTCGTTCCATGCACTGGTTGTGCTCTTTGTTTGACAGCCTCACATTCGTCGAGCACACAACATCATCTCGAATAGCGACCAGCAACCCTCCTTCTCCGCAAAGGTGTGTGTATGTGTGTGTAAAACATGAACTGTGAATGTGCATTGCTTGCAATAATTCTGCATGAGTGAGCTCGCCGCTTTGGCTTGCTTGCTTGCCTATTCTTGCCTCATCTGAAATGAAACACTCACTCGCCCCCCTTGTGCCCCACTCACTCGCCCCCGCTTGTGCCCCATTTCTATATCGTCTTGCTATCCCTCCCCCCCCCCCCAAACAACAGCTGCGCTGGTCCTGCAGCTTCCTCTATGGCAAGGTCTCTCTGAAAAGAAGACAACACAGCCTCGCCGTCTCCCTCTTGAAAGACGCAAAGGTTTGTCTTGTCTACGTTATTGCTTGCGCTTCGTTGTGTTTTGCTGTGCTGGCATTGAGTGTCATCTCGTACATGCTCCCACCCCACCCCTTCCACTTCATTGTCCCTGCCTTCCTTTTCTCTCTCTGTCTCTCTCTCTCTCTCTCTCTCTCTCTCTCTCTCTCTCTCTCTCTCTCTCTCTCTCTCTCTCTCTCTCTCTCTCTCTCTCTCTCTCTCTCTCTCTCTCTCTCTCTCTCTCTCTCTCTCTCTCTCTCTCTCCATCCCTCCCTATCCGCTTTCTCGCACTCAAACTCACTCACACTCATCATTTCTCTGCTTCCTCTGCTTCCATACCCCCCCCCCCAACACACACACACATACACGCACACCTCTTTCTCTTCCTCTCTTTCCTCTTTGTGTTCCGCCCAGCGATTGTGCCGAGAAGCAGGTGACGACGACGCAGAGACGCTACGCATCACCAACATCACCCTGGCCCAGGCCGTGTGCGCGCGTGCACAGGTTGCGCAGTGCCAGCCCGTGGAGCTTGTCATGGCCCTCGACGCCGTCAAGGCGTACCTCGCCACGTTCCAGCCCACGGACACCACGCAGGAAGCCGCCGGCAAGCGCGCCCAGGCATACCACGTGCGCGCCATGCTGCACCGGCACATGAGCGAGGACGAGGAAGAGCGCAAGTGGCTGCACGAGACGCTCGTCCTCAACGAAGAGCACGGCGTGCTTTCCCAGGATAAGGCCGATGCCATCAAGGCGCGGTTCATGCACCTCTGCGCCGCCACGGGCAACGGCAGCGGTCAGCCGCGCGACGATGACGGTGACGACCTCCGCCTCTACAACAACTACGGGCGCCCGTACAGCCACAGCCATCCCCGCCACTCTCATCCACACCACAGCAATGGCTACGGCAACAGCAACGGTGTTGCGCACGCTGCCTCAAGCCGCTTTGCCGCGTTTGACGGCTACGCTGACGACCGCCATCGCAGCGGCAGCAACGCCTCGGCAGACATGGTTGCAGAATCGGCAGCACACGTGCGGCGCTCGCTCGCCCCGCGCTTCACCTTTGCTGCCTTTGACGAGCCACGCTCCTCCTCCACACCTGCCTCCTCCTCGTCAACCCCAATGGACACCCTGCTGCACGGCAGCCCGCACAGCCCGGCCTCCTCTGCCACTTCTCTGGCGTCCCATTCGGCCTCGCGCCCCACACAGCACCACAGCGGACGCCTGGGCCACTTTGCCCACCCAAACCCACATGTGTATGCGCTTGCGCACGCGGATGAGGCGCATGGCATCCGTGCTTCCTCGGTGCCCGTCACGCGGTCTTCCAGCCCCAGCCCGCGCGGCCAGCCTGGCTCCCAACGCAAGCGCTCCTTGCACAACTTCCCGCGCTCCTGCGCCTCCCATACCTGTATCCACTCCCCCGAACTGCACTCGCCGCGCCGTGTTCAATCCTCGGCAAACCTCTCCCCAAGCATGGTGCGTATCGCTTTTGCCTGTGTGTGTGTGGTGTGTGTGTGTGTGTGTGTGTGTGTG